CAGTCAGCTTAGAATGATAGCCAGGCAAAGTTGGAGAACTCATGCTTGTAGCCAATGAGTAACTGCCAGCATAATTTAACCTTATTAAAAGACCCCTGCTTCCTTTGTTTGGGGCTCTCGGTATCTGCCACTGCATTGGTAGGTGCCGTGAGCCCGGTCTCGAGTCTGTAATAAACTCCCTTTTGTGTTTGCATTGGCTGTCTTTGGGTTCTTGGAGGCTATGCTCACCTAGTCTGCTGATCTTGGGCACAACAATATCTGTTAGTGATAAGACTAAACAATTTTCTTTAATTTATAATATTTTGTACCATTACCAGAATAGAGGAGAGTAGACTACTCTATGTGGGATTAGTTTATGATTATCCTGAGAGTATTAAAAAAAGATCTCCAAATTATTTAAATCTGGAAACCTATAAGTAAAATCTTTTGTAGGCCATTATTGTGCAATCTTTGTGCATAATAAGAATACTATTGTGCCGCTTCTACTCTGGGGTCATCATTGAAACATATGTATATTAATAATTTACTTATACATAATTTAACTTAGAAAAACAGAACTTTTTATTTTATTTTTTTAAAAGATTTTATTTATTTATGCACACAAGCACTGGGGTACAGGCCAGAGGTGTGGGGGGGTGAGAGAAGTCACCAGAGACAGAGTGGGGAACAGAACAGGCAGAATGACTGAAATACCCTGCTGAGGGGAGCAGAGGGCTAGTCAGGAGAGGTCTGCTATGCCATGTGGGTAGCTCCCTGGCCAGGGATCTAACTTGTGCTGCAGTGGCTGCAGTGGCTGCAGATAGCTTCATAGGTTGTATCTTAACCCCTTGCGCCACCAGGGAGACCCAGAACTTCTTTTTAGATTGTAAGTTTTATTCTCAGTTTGGTAGTTCTGAGTCAACTAAAATTTGAAGAATGTGAAATAAACCTAATATTTCCATTAGACTTTCCTTTTTTGATACTGAGATAAAATGCACATAATACAGAAACCAATATAAAGTGTACAATCTAGTGGCATTAGTACATCCACAATGTGATACAGCCACCACTTCTATTTAATTCCAAAGCATTTCATCACCACAAAAGAGAATCCCCATTAATAGTCACTTCTCATTTCCCTTCCCTCCTGTCCCTAGGAACCATTTTATGTCTATGCCTAATGCTTAGTGTATATATATATATATAAGATTTATTTATTTATGCATGCAAGAACTGGGGTATAGGTTAGAGGCATGGCGGGGTGAGAAGATTCACCAGAGACAGGGTGGGGAACAGAACAGGCACACTCACTGAAATACACTGCTGAAAGGAGCAGCAGGTGAGACAGGAGAGGTCTGCTGTGTCATGTGTGTAGCTCCATGTGGGTTGCTCCCTGGCCAACCAGGGATCAAATTCATGCTGCAGAGACTGCAGATAGCATCACAGTGCTGTGCTTAACACCTTGCACCATGAGGGAGGCCCCTGGAGGTTTTACATAAATGCAATCATAAAATATGTGATATTTTATACCTGACTCCTTTCCATTAGCTTAGCATAGTTATTTTAAAGATTCATCTGTCTTCTAACAAGTACTACTATCTCATTCTTTTTTATGGCCGAATAACACACCACAATAGCTTTGTAGCTTTGTAGTGAAATTTGAAATCAGGAACTACATGTCCTCTAACTTTTCTTTTCTTTTTAAAGATTGTTTTGGTGTTTCCTGCAATTCCATATGAACCCTAGTATCAACTTTTCTATTTCTGCTCAAAGTGTCACTGTGATTTTAATATAGATTTCACTGAATCTGAAGATTGCTTTGGATATGATCAGTATCATATCATAAGTTGGACAGTATAAGTGTCCAATCTATGAACATGATATGTCTTGCCACTTCTTTAGGTCTTCTCTGATTTCCTTCAATGATATTTTGTAGTTGTCAGTGTAAATCTCTTGGTTAAATTTATTCCTAAGTGTTTTATTACTTTTGAAGTTAGTGTAAATGGGACTGTTTTCCTAATTTCATTTTTAAATTACATGCATAGAAATACTCTGATTTTTATGTGTTGATCGTGTAATTTTGGTAAATTAATTTATTAGCTTTGTCTTTTTATGGATTCTTTCAGATTTTCTATATATGAGTATAAGAGAAGTAATTTTACCTCCTTTTTAAATTATATCAGTGGAGCACTCCATCTGCCTACCTGTGACAATGCAGGTGCTTCCTTTCACCAACTCTCCCTCCGCAGGGCAGCAGCTTCCTGCCTGCCCATGACTTGTACCAGGCTGGGACTTCTCTTCACTGACCTCTCCCAGTGGAGGCAGCTTTCCTCAAGGCCGCCCGCCTGCCACCATGCAGGCCTCTCTCAGTAAACCTGTCCCTTTTGGGGCAGCTCTTCCTGCCTGCTGGTATCTATGCAAGTGTCTTTTACTATCCTATCCCTTTTCTTTAAATATTAAAAAAATTATAACAATGTTGGTAATATAGACCTAACATCCTGGTATGGAAAGCCACCACACACTCATGTACAGAATACAATGGAAGTTCAGAGCAAAAGCAATCAAATCAAACCAAAAACCAAAGAAGACAGAAGACTGATGCTTTGGCTGAGTCTCATTGAGAGTAAAATCTGGTGGAGGTGAGAAAAAAATACACACACACACACAATGACATTGAAGTATAGCATTTGAATAAGTGAAGGAAAATCTTGCTTTCAACTGGTTAGAGGGAAAAAGTGGTGGAATTTGAGGTGGTCTTCAAAGTTCAGGTAGAATTGATTAAGTAGAGAAGGAGTGTGAAGATTTGGAATTCTAGGTGATAATTTGAAAGAAGATAAGTAGTCTTCTGGTGGCTGCAGGGTTCACGGGAGAGAATAGTGTTGAAATAACTCTTATTTCAGGCCCCAACCCAAAAGAGTGGGTCCTTTGCCCTTTAGGGAGAGAATTCACCACAGAGTGCTAAGTGTAGTTGAAACAGGCAAGGATTTAATAAAGACTTATAGGTGAGGGAGCCAGTGTGGGAAAGGAGACTTTAGCCTGGCTCCTTGAAGGGAGTTGGGAGGAAATATTTAAAGGGTAGGTCCACGAGGCCCTGTGGAAGAGCGGCCTATACCCAACCATGGCCAAACGCACTATATTCCAATTGGGCATGCTGCCTCTTGGCCTTCTCCATAGGGAATTTGTGAGGGTCTATGGCAGTTTGTCCATCATGTAGCCTCATGGTCAATGTGATGGGACAAATACTGTGGACAGGACTCCTCAGTCCATGATATTATCCACCTGTTCAATCAGAATTTGGGATGACTATTCCCACCACTTGGCAATTTCTTTTACCTAAGGTGTCTCTTAGTTATTGGTAGACAGATGAGTTAAACTTGAGCTAAGTTAAGGTTAAAAACTAGACCCAGTAGATTGGCCAAATGAAAGAAGTAAGTGGGGAAAGAGAGGAAAGTAAAGACAGGAAGAGATATGAGAGGAAGAGAAAGGAGAGTAGCTCACCTTTATGGTGTCTCTGAACCTCAAGCAGTCGTTACAGTAAAAAAGAAGAAAAACAAACATATTTGGTGCTATTTAGCGCAAAGTTGTTGAAGAGTGCACAGGAATTGTTGAAGAGTGCGTGGTTTCTCATATATCCTCTTGAAGTTTCTTCTGTTAATATTCAGACTAATCTTTTTGTTTCCTTTGTGAACTATCCGTGAGACAAGCACTATGTTCAAATGTGCTGCATTAATTGTGATAATTCTAAAATTGATTTTAATTATATAGGTAATACATGAATATTTCTTTTTAAAAAAGATTTATTTATTTATACAAGAACGGGCGTACAGGCCAGATGTGTGGGAGGGTGAGAGGATTCACCAGAGACAGAGCAGGGAACACAACAGGCAGGCTGATGGAAATACACTGCTGAGGGGAGCAGTGGGGGAGACAGGAGAGGTCTCCCTCACCATGTGGGTTTCTCCCCAGCTGACAGGGATGGAACCAGTGCTGCAGAAGCTGCAGACAGCTTCACAGTGCAGCGCTCAACCGCCTGCACCACCAGGGAGGCCTACATGAATCGTTCTTTTAAAAAATAAAACCAACATAGACACAACTTAAGGGTTCCAATTCTGATACTCTAACACCACTCTTACTGTATTCTTCCAGACCTTTTGCCAAGCATTTACATACTTAATAACTCACATAAAATGTACTTTAAAAACAAATGCTATACTATTCTTCTGCTTCTATAGCTTTTTTTTTTTTAAAGATTTATTTATTTGTTTGTTTGTTTGCTTATTTATTTATACAAGCACTGGGTGCAGTCAGAAGCGCGGGAGGGTGAGAAAACTCACCAGAGCCAGAGCAGGGAGCAGAGCAGGCAGAAGGACCGAAGTACACTGCTGAGGGGAGCAGCAGGCGGCAGGAGAGGTCTGCGCGCCATGTGGGACCCTCCTCTGGTGACCGGGGAGCAGCTGGGGATTGAACAGGTGCTGCAGAGGCTGCGGGCAACTTCGCAACCCAGCGCTCAACCGCTGAGCCACTGGGGAGACCTGTGCTTCTACAACTTATAAAAACCCCAATCCACTCTATCTTGAACTTATTATTAAACTTTTAATTTGCTACGTGTATCCTGAGCTAGGATGTATGACACTTAAATTAGCCATTTATCTGCTGTGAATCTCCCAACTTTCCAGTCGCTGCACTGGATAGAACAAATAGTATACAAGCGTATACAGTTCCTGGAGCAAAGGTGCTAATTATTTCTTTAGCATGAATAGCGATTAGTGAAAATGCAGAGTTACAGACAAGGTGCATTTGAAAACGAAATATATACTGCCAATAATCTTCAAAAGAAAGGCCCTCTTTTCTCAGCAGAGTTTTTTCCCAGGAGGGGCGTGAGCCCCGCCTCCAGCCCTGCCCCGCTTGGCCCGCCCCCCGCCCTCGGGCTTCCCCGGCCTACCTGCGCCCCGTCGGCCCCGCCTCCCGGCCCCGCCTCTTCCGGGGGCGCGACGTCGTGACGTCACTGCCGGCCAGGAGCCATCTTGCCGGTTTGCTGCCGCTTTCGGATGTAGCGGCAGCGGTGGTGAGGGCGTGGGGAAGGGTGGGGTGAGGGGGCGAGGCCCCGGCGAGGGCGGCGAAACTCTCCTCCCTCAGCCCCACCGCGTGGGACGGCGCGATCGCGGTGTCGGAGGGATGTCCGCCTTCTCCGAGGCGGCGCTGGAGAAGAAGCTGTCGGAGTTGAGCAACTCGCAGCAGAGCGTGCAGACCTTGTCCCTGTGGCTCATCCACCACCGCAAGCACTCGCGGCCCATCGTCACCGTGTGGGAGCGGGAGCTGCGCAAAGGTGAGTCGCCTGCCCCTCTCGGCCGCTCCCGCCGCCGGCCCGTTCCCCGACGCCGGTGGGGCCCCTCCCCCCCACCTCTCCCCTCCCGAGCCCACTTCCCCAGCCCTCGGCTTCCCGGCTCCTGGGCTTGGGGGGTCGGTGGGCGCGGGAGGAACAGCGAGCCCTGCGCTTCCCGCAAAGTCGGCGCCTAGTAGATGTTATTGGAGAAAGGACTTGAAAAAACAACAACAGAAACCCCTTCCATTGAGCACTGAAATAGTAGTCAGGGAGGGGCTCGGAACTCCGCATTTAGGAGGGCCAGAAATTCAGACAAATATTGTTTTCATCCTGTAAATGATAATGGAGGGCCGGGGGAGAGGAGGTGGGGACGTGGAAACGAAAAGATTGGCCTTGGGTTGGGAGTTACTAACATCGTTTCTGTACTCAGTCAACCCAATCTTATAAAATTAACAGAGGAATCAGTTTTAGGGCTGGGGAGTCTAAAAAAGATGCGCAGCGCAATGGAAAGAGCCTTAAATTTGTAGATTGTAAAGGACCTGGGTTGTTGGGCAGGTTTCTTAATTTCTGAATTACGGTTGCCTGACCTGAAATTGAGGGAGTTAGAGTAAATGATCTAAGATTCTTTCTCGTCTATTCAGCGTCTTTATTTTTGCAAAACATTCTATACATAGCTCCTGAAAATGAAGTTAACTTTTTTGAGAAGTTGTCTGCTGTCACTAAAATACCCAGGATCATTTCATTCTGCAAAGCACCATTTTCTGTAAGAACTGATTGTAAGTGTGTGTGAAACATGTTTTCATTTGCTTAGCCTGAATTTGTACTTTCATTTTTAACTTAGTGGGTGGAGAGATGGTTACTCTTTATTGTTTTTTCAGGCATTCTTATTTGTCAATATATAATGGTTATGTCCTAGTTGTTAAAAGTTTTAACGAAACATTATTAATCAAAATCGATACTTGCTTACTGACCCATTGGAAAGCTCTGTGATTCATAGGCGAGCCAAATTTGTGGCATTGACTGGACAGAATGAAGACTGTCCTTGTGTATATGCCTGTGGTTAAGAAAATGTCATCCCCCATTTTTTCAGTTCATAGGAAGTCTGTATTTTGGCTCTCAACAAGGAATTAGTCCTCTCTGATTGGCCAAAAACATTTTAGAAACAGATATAAAGGTCCTGGAAAATAGCTATGAACTTTGAGAAGACAGAAATTTGCCTCTATGTCTTTTTAGATTTCAAAATCAGTGACAGGTGTATACTTTTTATTGGAAAGAGCATTTTAGAAGCATATAATCAATAAAGGATTGATATCTAGATTGCTTAGGAACTAACACAAATCAATAAAATAAAATGGCACCAATAGAAAAATGGCAGTACCGTTTAAAGACACTTTATATGAGAGGAAACCTGAAAGGCCAATAAAAGATACTTAACGTTATTAATCAGGAAAAAAATAAACCAATGAGGTACCCCATTATAACCATCAGTTTGCAAAACTGAAAAGTGTAACAATACCAAGAATTAGCAAGGATGAAGAGAAACAGGAGCTCTTTTATGGGGATATAAAAAGGAGAGCAGCTTTGCAACTTCTAATGAAGTGAAAGGTACATATCATTTGACCTAGCGGTATTCCTCCTAGGAATATTCCTAGAAATTAGTACCTCTGCCCAAGGAATTATGTTTATTGCAGCCTCTTAATAAGAAACAATTTAAACATTTCATTACTTAAAGCATGGACAAATATTTTGGGATGTGCATGCAATATAATAATATCGTGTAGCGGTTTTTACGCATGAACTAGAGCTACGTGAAACAACATGTCTGAATTTAAATAACAACAGATAAGCAAAATGTTAAGCTAAGAAAGCAAGGTGCAGATTAATATGCCATTTTGTAAAGTTTGAACATGCAAAATAATATGTTGTTCATAGATACCGAAGGCTATAGTTAAAACATGCATAGTAATGGACACCATATTCCAATATAGTGGTTACAGTAAAGGAAAGAGGAAACAAAAATGAATGTTATCTTTTGTTTCTTATATTTAAAAGAAAAATTGGTATAATAAGATATACTATTAGCTGGGTTTGGGGATATTTCTGTATCTTTAAATGCTTCATAATTAGAAAAAATTAAAAGCACATAAATGTATGCTTTGACAGGTAGGAGAGTGATGTTGTTTGATGATCGCTGTAGTGATGGTGGTGCTGAGCTCTTGCTGCTGCTGCCGATCTCAGTTGGGTCTGGGTTAATCTGCTCAATGTTTCCTTTCTTTGACATATGAGTGCTTTTTTGTAGGGCATACCCTGTATATCCTCCCCTCTTTCTAAAGTTTTGCTCAACTTTGGGATACTGCGTCTCTTGTAGCATAGTGGTAATAATAGTATACTGAGTGAGTAGCAGGTGGTGGTGTTTTAGCTTTCTTCCTGTGACAACTTGCATTCTCACATTATCTCTGCAAAATAAATTTGTTGTGCTTTGGTCGAATTTGAAATGAAGAAATCAGAAAATAAACTAAGGAAAATTAGTTTAGCATTTTGTTTTAGGGTAGGCATTCTTTAGTTTCTGGAAGTGTATAAAGACAGAAATGTGACATCAGTAGGAAAAAATTACTGTTCACAATATGAGCATGAGTAGCAAAAATTATGTCAAATGTGGTAGTCATGTAGTTATGATGATTTCCCGTCTTTTTTCTTTGTCTTTGTGTCTCGGAGGTATATATCCTAAGACCTTTATGAAGACCCAGAGTAGCTATAATTTCTCTGATATATACAGTAAAGTATATCCAGAAATATAGGTAGTTGATTTTGTTTTATAACAGCTTTATTGAGGTGTTATATAATTAAGTCACTCACTGTGCTCTGTTGTGACCGACTTCTTTTAATGAGCATAACTTACACAGGTTTATCTATGTTGTAGCATGTATTAGTACTTTATTCCTTTTTATGGCCAAATAAATAGTCATTGTGTGAATTTATCCTTTTATCCGTTGATAGACAGTTGGGTTGTTTCCACTTTTTGGCTATTATGATTAATACTGCTGTGAACATTTACATGCAGGTTTTTGTGTGGACTTGTTTTCCTGTTTTTTGGTTTTGGTTTTTTTATTTTTGGATAAGTACCTAGGAGTAAAATTGCTAGGCCATATGGGAGCTGTATGTTTAGTGTGTCAGACTTCCATAGTAATTGCACTATTTTATAGTCTTGCCATCAATGGGTAATGATCCCAATTTCTCCACATCTCTACCAATATTTGTTAATATCTTGTTTGTTTACACTATTGGGTGTGAAGTGGTATCTTTGTGGTTTTAATTTCTGTTTCCCCCAATCACTAATAATGTTGAATATATTTTTATGTGTTTAATGGACATTTGTATGTTATCTGTGGAGAAATGTCTCTTAAGATCCTTTTCCGTTTGAAAATGGGGCTGTTTGTCTTTTTATTGTTGAGTTGTAAGTGTTGTAAGTGTTGAGTTGTAAGTTGTAAGTGTAAGTGTTCTTTATGTATTTTAGATATATGTCCCTTATTGTATCCATGACTTGCAAATCTTTTTTCCCTTCAGTGAGTTATAATATCTCTTCACTTTTCAAAAACACTCGTAGTGTTTTTGCAGTTGACTAGAGTCACTGCCTTCACCAGTCTTGTGATTGAGCTCCTTACTCCAGCCTCTGGTTTATTCGTGTTTCAGTCTTAACAAACTCTTATATGGGTCAGCCCTTTAGGATATGTTAATTCATCCTGTATTTATTACCTTCTTTGTATCAGACATTGCATAGTGTAGTGATAAAATAAAGTTTGTTTCTTGTCTCATAAAATTAAAGTCTCATAATGGGGTACAAAATAATTTTAAGGATAAATTTTGTGTTAAGTCCATTAAAGGAGGAAAACTTACTAAAGGCAGTGAGGACAATCATCTTTGCATAAATGTCCTATAATAACAGACCTCTCTGAATCAGCTATTCTGTAAGCTGGTCCATACTCCATTGGGAGTATGTGAAGGTAATGAAGTGAGAAATAGCTTGGCTTACTAAGAATGGAACCTGGGAAGTTTAGTCCTTATTAGTGCTTGTTACCATTTTCTACAATATTATACAATTAAAATGGTAGATTATTTAAAGTTTAGATTCTCCTTTTTATTTGTAATGATTTGTTAAAATCAGTATTTTGTTATCAGAAAACTGCATTAGACATCTTTCAGGGACTAATGGTCACTGTATAGCGTATTACAATTTGGAGGGTTATGTGTTTGGATATGAAACAGATGGGGTCTCCTCTTTTTTCAATTTTTAGACCCCATAACCACAATATATTGGTGAATGTTCTTAAATATGTTGACTCAATATTATATTAACTAATACTGCTTTCGATTTTTAAGAAGGGCTGAATGAATGAGTGCTGAATATTCTCAGCTGCTTTAGAATAATTGAGAGAAGGCAAAGAACAGTTTTCATTTGCTTTAAAAACATATAGCAGTATAGATCCTTAAAGTGATTCTGTTTTGAGTTGATAATTAATTGACTTGAATTGTCTAATATTATTCTCTTTTAAGAGGCAGAATTGAACAAGAATGTAAAACAATATTATTAATATTTTTAAGTTCTTAAAAGGATTTCATTTTCTAAAACTGGGTAAATTTTATAAGCCTCCAGCTAGTTGTTGCCCACGTTCAAAAAACACCATCTTTATTATCACCTTAAAAAAAAAAACTTAGGAAAAATTATTAAATATCTAGCTAGTGTTTGCTTCCTTGATTGTCCGACTTTTCCTAAAGCCATTTGTTTGAATCAAGATCCAAGTTAAACTCATTGTTTGCATTTGATTATTATTGTCTTTAAATCCTGTCATAAATAAGGATTCTCTCTGTCTTTCATTTTAAATTTGATTGTTTCATAGAAATTTTCATGATCTAGGATCTCCCTGGTGGCCTATTGGTTAAGTCTCAGTGCTGTTACCACTACGTGGGCTGAATTTGATCTTCTCAGTTCAATCCCTGGCCAGGGA